CCTCTATACAGTGAATGGACAGACCAGTGCTATACCACTTAGAAAAATGTTTGACCAAAATAATTTAAAACCAGGCCTGAAGGCCACAGAGTAAAATCACACACCTTTGACTTGGTAACATAACTTTCTTTTTTTTAATTATTATTTTATTATTTTGTGTGTGTGTGTGTACCATCAAATCGGATCTGACTGGTACAGGAGGAGATCCCTCCTTTTCCCGGCAGAGCATCTGGTGGATTTGAACCGTGCACTTCTGAGACTGCAGTGCAGCTTCTTGCCACTAGGCCACCAGAGCACCCCTGGTAACATAACTTTCTATCCACTAGGCCAACAGAGCTCTCTCAATGTTGTTGTTGTTGTTAAGTACTGTCAAGTAATAGAGTACTCGTAGCAACCCTATGGACAAAAGACCTGAGCACTTGTATAACTTTCATCGTTTTTCCAAGTTCATTGCATTTTTGGAGGCAAGCTCTTTTGGAAATGGATGCCACTCTTGCTTCCAAGCTTGTTTTAATAGGCGAGCTGTACTAGATTAGAATTTATTAAGAGCTAATGTGGTATTTTTCAGGGGCTGCCTTTAGCCTTCATTTACTCACTAGAGGGCATTCGTACTCTTCGTAAGTTGTGTAGTCAAGAACTGGTACCTGAATGTCGTATAAGGTGTCATGAATGACATTGTAATCATTTACTTTTTACAGACAGTGTCAGATTTTTATTACTGTTGTTTGATTCTAAGTCTGTCTTTCTGTGACATTTACAGTCTGAAACTAATGTGATATTCTTGTATTTTCAAACTGCTTTTTATCAGAGTAGATTGCCAGTGATGTTCACAGAACTAAAAAATTAAGATTGAAGTGTAGTAGTTGTAGTAGTAGTAGTAGTAGGGTGGATTTTTAAAAAATTATTTAGGAAACCTGACTATCACTGTATAGTTTTATGTGTTACTAGTAAATAGATGTCTTTTAAATGAGATCTAGTGGCCAAGTGGTAAGGAATTGTGCTCCATGCCAAAGGCAGGCGAGTCAGATCCACCAATTTCTCTGCAGGAGGAAGATAGGCAATCACACGTGTGTGATTTACTGCGTCTGGAATGCTACTGGAGGGTCAACTATGAGTCATTTCCACCTGGAGTGTACATGGCAACAACAGTGCCGTTTTGGGGGATAGCAGTGCAGCTAGGCCAGCAGAGCTCCCTCATCGTGCTATTTTTTTTAAAAAAAGCTCACACTCCCCTTTCACCACTGAGGGCTAGTCTCTTAATAACGTGTTTTCTTTTGTTTCTTGTCCCTAGCAATTGTGTGAAAATGTTGTATAATGTTAGTTATTTGTGCATATTTTGTAGTCTCTCCTTACTTTGAATAGATACAGAAAAAATAGAATTGACTAAGCAAACTGTCTGGTTGTTAATGTTTTTCTAAAACTACAGAATTCTAACTTAACACATAAGAGACAAGGCCTGTATTCAGTAAAGAGCCTAGTTCCTGAACTGTTTACAGATTGGACGATAATTGGCAATGCTGTGTTTATTGATAGGGAGCTCTCATGGCTTAGTGGTAAGTAGTTGTGCTGCCAGACCATTGGCATGTGGTTCGACTCTGTTAGCTTCTCCAAGGGAGATCTGTCTGGCTTGACAGTACATAATAGCATGTTATTTATAAGACAGTGCTTAAAAACATGAACTTTGGGGAATGCCTCTTCTATAATAACTCCTTCTTCCCCAAATCTGCTTTTCCTCCTGAACAAGTACTTCCAGTTGATCTTAGCAGTTAATCTCTCGGGTAAAAAGCATATGACTAGTAAATGCTCCAGGGTATGATGGTCAGTGCTCTATTTGTAATAGCAAAAACTTGGAAACAATCAGATGTCTTACCAGAAAATTGGATTATTTTTACAATGTGGCAGGTAAAATGAATGAACAAGAGATCCATACTAACAGGGACATGTATGAGAGAACAAAATGGAGCAGAATTTCAGAAGACAGCATGTAGTACTTTGTGCAAAATTTAACAGAACAGCAAGCAACAAATGCTGGTGAGGTTGTGAAGAGACTGGAACACTTATTCACTGGTGGTGGTAGTGTAAAATGGTGCAATCACTGTGGAAGGTAGTACGGCACTTTCTCAAAAAGTTGCAAATAGAGATACCATTTGACCCAGCAATTCCACTACTGGAAATATACCCCAAAGAGACCATAACTGACATTCAAGCACATACATGCACACCCATCTTTATCGCGGCTTTGTTCACGATAGCAAGAAGTTGGATACAACCTAAGTGCCCATCAACAAATGAATGGATAGAGAAGCTGTGGCATATTCACACAATGGAATACTAGGATGCATTGAAAAATAAGGAATTCATACAATTCAAAGTGGGTGACTCTGGAGGACATTATGCTGAGTGAAATATCTCAGTCACAAAAAGACAAATACTTCATGGTGTCACTGTTATAAAACAGGACTGACCTCGGGTTTGGAAGGAGACTGAGAAGATAGGTTCAATAATGTATACTACATTGAAACAGATGAAGGAGAAAACTGTTTTAGAGGGAAAATTGCTAGGTATTTTTGTCATGACAGGAGTCCAGAGCGAAGACTGTATGGTGACGTGGACCTTGGGGGAGGGATTGTAAAACAATGAAAGAATTTTTCTTTTATTTTTCCAAGAGGGTAGTGTACTGGGGGTGGGGGGCTGTTGGGGGGAGAAAAGTACAACAGTGAATGAATGGAAAGCCAAAGTCTCTGTCAGTTTTCATTGAAATTAATAATAAATTTTAAAAAAAGAAAAAAAGATAAATAAAGCAAATTATACAGTCAGAGCAAAATAATAGAGTCTGATCTTGTTAAGATTTTTTAATTTAAAAGCAAAACAGCAAGAGAAGTCTTCTGGAAAGAAAGATTTGAGCTAAAGATGTTTTCTTCAATCTTTTTATTTATGAAACTCTGGGTTATGAGAATTGTGTACATTAAACCTTTAGGACAGCTCTGTTAATTAAATTGATTGACATTTTAAAGACTGAAAACAAACAATTTAAGGCACTAAGACATTTTTCATGAGGGAGAGTCTAATCCATTATTAATTTTTAGTAGATTGAATTAATGAAAATGAAGAGATTTAGGAATGCTAACTTAATGTAAATTAGCCCTATAATAAGGTACATAAACTTTCTTTTTCTCTCAAATCACAATTTTAAAAGAAGAAAAATGGAGAAATAATTTTTTAAAGCATATAGGCTTTCTGACAGCTGTTTTGATGTCCTTTTACACAGATTATTTTACTCTATATTTATGGCATTCCAACCATTTATTGGGGGGGGTGGAAATCTACTTATTATAAAGTTCCGTGTTTTTATTTTTTAGGAAAACTTTAATGTCTTACTAAATTGTTAGCATAAAATCAATTTGAAAAACAGTCTACACAATGATTATTTGAAGTCCAGTCCTGACACCTCTTTGTACCTTCTGGAGACCGGGCTGAGGACAGAAAGACTTCTCTATAAAGTGTGGTGCACTCCTCACAACAGAGTTACCATTTCCCTCAAGCCTTGGTGTTTTTCCCCCCTTCCACAGATAACCTCATAAATTAGGAAAATCAAGGCCATATAATTTGCTTATTCTTCTGGATATCTGTACTACATGTAATCTGTTTTTCTTCCTGTGTGAGCGGAAAAAGGTACTGTTTGTGTTTTGCAGCCATGCCCCTCACGGGGGGCCGTCCAGTTGATCTTATTTGCAGTGACCTCAGGTGGCAGAGTAGAGGTGCCTTGTATGGTTTCCTGGGTTATAATCTATGGACGCAGATCACCAAGGTTTTTTCTCCTTCTGTGCTGCCGAGTAGGTTCAGATCACCAGCCTTAGGTTCATAGCTGAGTGTTTAACCACTGTACCACCAGAGCTCCTTTTTCTGGCTTGTCTTGACTTTTCTATGAGCAGCTTTCTATATGCAAACAGAATTTTTTCCCTCTCTATTGAATTGCATATTTTTCTGTAAGTGGTTAGTGTGTTAGTGAGACCTCTTGTGAATTTAAATTGTGTTGAGGTAAAATCCTTCCTAGGAGGTAATATTGGCCAGAAGATAAGGGGTGAAAAAATAATTTAAACCAGAAACAGCTAGTACTGGGCTCCAAGGTAGAAAGGTTTTTGCCCTTTTCAGGGAACTAGATCTCTTTGCCTTTAATTATTAATGTGTATAATGAATTTTCTTGCTCTTTTGACTGTTCCTCAAGAGCATACTGTAACTACATGACAGTACTGGGGCCTGGTCAGTGCAATCTTCCTAAGGCACATGTAACTGTTAAAATGAAATAAAACCAAAACTAAGTGGATAGGGGCTACTGGGTTGGACAGTGTTAATATAGAACATATCTAACAATGAGGAAATTTATTTTATCAGCACTACTTTGGAAAGTCACTCTGATTTAAATACCTTCTGTTCAGTATCTTTATGGTTTGTTTTGTCCTATACCTGTAGTGTATAACATATAATTGCTGAATATTTGTTAATGATAAAATGAATAAATACATAGATTAGTGGACAGCCACTACATGTTTTACCAGCTAGAGGACAGCAAGAGATACATAAATTAAAAATAAGATTGGTGTGTTTGAGGAATTGTGTAAGAAGACTGGCAGTAATAGAGATGAGTAATGGCTTGAGAACATGAAATGAATGACCAGTGTTAGGTCTTGTTCTCCATGAAGTGAGAGTTGATGGGAAGGTTTATAGCATGTTAGTAATACGATCTTATCTATATGTCTTTTTAGCAAACTAATAATTCTTTGGTTTTACTAGATCTCTTGAGAGTTTAGTAAGGAGTTTAATAATTAATATGATAGTTTAAACAGGGTCTTAGAATAACTGCTTGTTATCCAGATTGTTCCTTTATTTCATGGGTTACTACCCGCTCATATTTTATGATTTGTTTTGTTTGTTTAGTAATTGTCTACTTATTAGCAGAACCTTATAGGTGAGAACTTGTTCTTGGTGTTGTTTTTTTCCAGTGAAGGTGGTGTTTTTAAGGCTCATCTCACTTTCCCAAAAGATTATCCCCTCCGACCTCCTAAAATGAAATTCATCACAGAAATCTGGCATCCAAATGGTAAGCTTATCTCATTTTCTTTGTATATTTGCAAATATAAAGAGCGCTGGAGTCATTAAATTTGGAATTTTGACGTATTTCTTCATCTTAGATTTTATAGCATGAGTAACTTAATTTTCCCCCCTATATTCTTGGCAGTAAGGAGAAATATTCCAGCTACCGCATAAGATGAGTGATAGGATCAAAAGAAATAGCCTTTGCATTTTCTAGGCTTCTTAGAATGCTGAGCATGAAATGGAGACATTGAACTTTTAAAAAAACAAACAAGCAAAAAAAAAAATCACAAAACTCAAAGATGAGCTATAATTTAAAAACTTCTAGAGGGGAAATATAATCAAGATAAATCTATTTACTGTACATTAAAAAAAAAAACAAACAACCCAACCCATTAATGAGTTCTAGACTGCTAAAAGGACAGAGTTCAAATCAGATGTGTTAAAAAAGTCTTGGGAAGAAAAAAAAAAAGGCTTGGCACAATTATATTTGACACTTGTTGGCTAATCAAAGGTTAGGTAAGCTATCTTTAGACATAGTCTCCTGAGTCTGTAGCCTTGTGTTTTTTTTTATGTGATTGAACTTTGAGAGATTTCTTTTCTCACTATTTTCACTATACATAAGCAGTGTTGTCTTTCTATACTTACTAGTCTCTGAAGGACCCTGGTGGTCCTCTGGGTAAAACCATTTAGCTGCTGAAAGATTTTTAGTTAAAAATAAGTAGTTGTTCCACAAGAGAGAGAAAGATGTAACAGTATGCTTCCATAAAGACTGACTGCTTTGGAAACTCGATGGGCGATTCTGCTTTGCCCTTACATAGCCACTGTGAAGCTCAGTCAGCTCACTGGCAGCTAATTTGAGATTTGAATATATAAATACATACGTACGTACATACTTTCTGTTTATAGTGAAGATTTTTTAATTTGATTAAAGAATAGAAACAAATCTTTAAATTTACCTAAAAATCAGAGGACTACAATATTTGAACCCAGTTGCTTAAAAACAGATGAGAATTGTGAGAGGTGGTCACTGGCAAATGGAAAACTATTGCAAACCAAGCAGGGGAAGTGTCTCCAGGAAGGTGTTGTCAACTGTATCGTTGTCTACACCCAGCAGAGTTCATTTTAGGTAGATAAAAGAACCCAAGGGAATATATTACCCAAATTGCTTTGGTAAACATCAAAATGTTTTGGTAAGGAGCAAAGCTTACTTTCTCCCAAAGAGGATCAGAAGTGCCCAAGATCAAGTTCAGGTTGAGTTTAAGTGCGAAGAGTTCTATCCAATTACTAGTAATACTCGACTCTATATTTTTCTGCTTATGAGAGACTCAGCCGGTAGTTGACATTTATTCAGTTAAATTGTTCTTAATGGGCTAGACTTACATGCTAAGTATCTTGACATTGTAGATGATGACGATGATGATAATAATAATAAAATAAAGAATAAAAGATACTGGTATTCTCATCGGACTTGTCAGTTCAATCCTGTGAATTTGGTAACATCTGTAGTCTTCCTAAAAGTTTAGTGATTTTGAGAAATCACTTATTCTGTTTATTTTACAGAAATACTGTGGGAATTAGTATCACATTTGTGCTAGATCTTGCATGTGTAACTTAATCAGTGATACTTTAAACAGAAATTTTATTCTATAATTTTACAGTTGATAAAAATGGTGATGTGTGCATTTCTATTCTTCATGAGCCTGGGGAAGATAAATATGGTTATGAAAAGCCAGAGGAACGCTGGCTCCCCATCCACACCGTGGAAACCATCATGATTAGTGTCATTTCTATGCTGGCAGACCCTAACGGAGACTCACCCGCTAATGTTGATGCTGCGGTAAGATGCATGCATTCTTGTTCTTTTCTCTCACTTGCTTTAACAAAACTGAACTGTTGTTTACAGTCAAGTTAGATTTGACACGTACCTGAGCCTCCAGTAGGTTTTAGAGGCAATAAATTGCATAAGGGGATAGCCTGTCTTTTCAGTATTTATTTCCATATCTCTGTTTTTAATCTAAGGACCTCTGGGTGGTAGTGGTTAGAGGATTTCACTCCTAACCTGAAGTAGGTTTGAATCCACTGGCTGCTCTACCAGAGAAAGACTGGTGATTGAATGAGTGACTTAACAGCCTCTGAAAACTTGCGGGAGGGTCAGCTATGAGTGGGTTCAGGGTCCACCCTTGCCCTATCCTGTACCATGCCCACAATCTCTGATGTAGTTGAGCCACTGTTATTGTCACTATGTCAGTCCTTCTGCTGGAAATCTCTGTCTTTATCTGATCCTCCATCTTGTCCCAGTGTATTATCCTTTTCATGGCCCCTCTTGACAACAGGAAGCAGAATTGGCATCTACTTCCTAAACAACGTGCCTCTGCAAACCCTATGAACTTTGATAAATGACGATAGTTACAGAAAGGCTTTAGGCCTTCGTAGGGTCGCTATGAGTCATGCTTGACTCAACAACTTGACAGCATGCCCAAAATTGGTGAGATACAGTCTCACCATTCTTGACTCTAACCTAAGGAGTACCCTGGTTGCATGCTCGGAGACAGATAGATTTACTTCTGAGTATTTGTGCCTGTCATTGTACCAGTACCAGATTGTTTGATCACTGTGGGTGTGTAGCCAGTTTTGAGATAAGGAAGTGTAAGACCACCCACTTTGTTTTCCTCAGGAGTGTTTTGTTTATCTTGGATCTCTTAACTTTCTATGTAAACTTGGTGATGATTTTCCCCCATCTTTTTGAAGAAAGGCCACAGGCTCTGGATAGAGATTATATTTTATCTGTAGATTGCTTTTGTATTCTTACTGTGTTTTATGTTTTTCTTTGTATAGGTCTTTTATATCTCTGGTTAGATTTATCCCTAAATAACAGAGATGCTTATGGCATACTTGTCTGGTTCCCATTTGTATTGACAGTTGGTATGTGTGTAGATATGCTTTTAGTTAAGTTGAACAATTACTTTTCTACCTTTATTAAGTGTTTTTATCAGGATATCAGAAAGAGAAGTTGAATTTTGTCAAATGCCTTTTCTGCATCAGTTGAGTTATTTATGTTGTTCTTTTCCTTTGTTTTATTGGCTTATGGTGGATTATATTTTTTCTTGAATCATCCTTGCATAGATGGTATGGATCCTGCATGATCATGATAGATTTTTTTGTTTTGTTTTTTTGCTATGTCATTGGGAGTTTGTTGGCTCTAATTTTTCATCTATGTTTATGAGATAGTATTGATAGTGGTTTATAATTTTCTGTTTTAGTGATATATTTGCCAGGCTTTGGAGATTATGCTTGATTCCTGCAATGAATTGAAATGCATTCCATCTTTTCCTATATTTTGGAATAGTTCATGTAGAATTGGGGCCAGGAGTTTTTTGGATTGGGTTTGTTTTAATGACCTATTCAATTTCTTTCTGTGGTGGGAGTCTGTTCAACTTCTGCATTCATTTGTTTGCAGTGAGTTTCTAAATATGTGACCATTTGTCCTACATTTCCAAATGATTGGAGTATAATAATCCTGTTATTATACTGTTGATTTTAGTATATTGTGATGTTGCTAATTTCATTTCTTATTTGTATAAGGACTTGTCAGTTTTATTATTTATCTTAAAGAACCAGCTTCTGGTCTTGTTGATACTTTATTATTTTCCCATTTCATTTATTTCTGCTCTTACTGTTTGGTTTTTTCTGGAGACCTATGCTCTGCTCCCTTTTTTTCAGAGGTGCTGATACTGGGTTTTTCTTTTTTGATGTGTACATTTATTATTATTATTGCCCTCAGAACTGGTTTTGCTGTGTCCAAAGATTTTGGTATGTTATAATTTTATTCTCATTTGTTTCAAAAAATATAAAAATTTCTCCTTTTACCCAATAGTATTTAAATACTCTGCACCTGTAATTAACTTTAAGACAGTTTTACTTCTTACTGTTACGTTCTATTTTTTTTCCCCCTTGGTTTCAATCTTATTTTTTTCCTATTTCTTTATGATTTTGTGGGATGGTTTTTAAATATAATTTTTTATTTTAATTGTAATTTTAAAAATGTACGGAAAAGTTAGGTTTTCATTCATTCACTGTTGCACATTTTTACTCCCCTCCTTCCCCAACACAGTTCACTTTTTAAAAAATACTCATTCATTGTTGTACAATTACCTCTCCCCCCATTTTGTTTCTTGATACTGACCTTTCTGTGTTGCCTAGAGTTCCCCTTTCTTCTTTTTAGTAAAATGATAGATAGTTCATTGGCCCTGAATCAAGACCAGCAGTTTGATGGAGCTGTTGGTTTCAAGCAGGAGCCTAAAGAAATATCTTGCTATGGTCTGTTGGCCATTTCAGAACTTTGGAAATGTGATGGTCAATTCATTAGAAAGAAACATTTTCAGTCATTGGTGATAAATATGGACTAGCAGTTACTTGTAATCTTAGGATTTCAGAGTATAGGGCTACCTGCTGCTATTGATGCTTTTCTTACAATTATAAAACTGTCAAATCTGTTACCCCAAAAAATCACTGGAAGGGTTTTCTACCCAAAACAGGACAGTTCTTAACTGTGACCTTCCTTTCAGTAATGTCCCTTTGTGTGGTCAGAACTCTAACTTAAATATTTTCAGCTATCCAAATGAGAAATTAATTATGTGCTTCCTTCCCTCTTTTGAAATAATAAGCGTTTACATCATGATAGTGTTTCTTGATTTCTGTGAAGAACACAGTTGCCTTTGTGGTTCACAAAGTTTGTAGTTGTTCACTGAGTTGTAAAAATATATTTTTATTATGGACATTGATTTTAAAAGTTACTTTAATTAAAAAAAAGTGCAGTAGAGATAGTATAGCATTTTTCCCATTACTTTTTTTCCCAATTTTATGTTGGTTTGCATACAAAATGTGTGTATATTGTGTTTCATATGATTGATCATTCCTATATACTGTGTTTTATAAAATTACCCCATCTTTTCAGGTTCCCATTGGATCTTTCCTAATTCCTTCACCCCCACTCCCTCCACCCTCCTGCCTCCTTCCCCTTCTCCTTTTGGGCTTCCATGCACATCTTACTAGTTGCTCTTTGGTTTTTTCACAATAAAGAAAGGTCTCACACAATATTTGTCCTTATGAGACTGAATTAGTTCACTTTCTACACTTCTCCTGTATTATATTTTTACAAAATCAATCACCATTGGACTATACCCCCTGTCACCCCATCCTTTCAGATACCTGCTGGATCTTTATTTTCTTCACCCACCAAATTGTGCAACCCTGTGAAAACCCCCGCCCCATCCTCCCCCCTCTGCTCCCACTCCTTCCCCCTTGAACTCCCATGCACGTTTTAATAATTATCTTTCCATTTTTACAATAATGATCTTATGCTTTATTTATCCTTATGAGACTGAGTGAGTTCACTCAACATAATGCTCTCCAGTCTCTCCCAAGTTACGTAGTATTTTTCAAAATGGTTGCTCCTTCGGGAGCTCTGGTGACCTAGTGGCAAAAAAGCTGCGCTGCAACCCCAGACGCGCACAGTTCAAATCCAACAGACATTCTCTCTGCTGGAGAAGGAGGGGCAGTGTCCTCCTCCTGTACCAGTCAGATCTGATTTGACAGTACACACACAGTAAATAATAAAATTAAATTAAAATATATTTTAAAAAAAAAGAGACATTTCTTTAAAAAAAAATTGTTGCTTCTGAGTGCTGTGTAGTATTCCATCGTGTGGTTTTATCACGGTTTCTTCAATCCATACGGTTGTAGTTGGACATTTGGGCTGTTTCCATGTTATTGTGATAGTGAATAATGCTACTATGACTGTTGGTATGCAAAATTACTGTACATTTTGTAACATTCTTTTGCTATTTACATATTAGCTAAAATGATCTCTTTTTCCCATGTGAAAGAATCAATGCAAATAGTGGTCTATTTTCAGTTTGCTGGAAGTGATATTTTTGTCATCTATATGGTTTTTCTTTTTCCCCCTAGAAATAATATGCTGTATCATCTCATATATAGGTATTTTGCCATCCATTTCTCATATAAAAGACATTGTACACAGTTTCCTGGGGAGCTCTGGTAATCCTGGCGATAGCAAAAATGTCTATTTGTAAATCATAACCCACCCCCCATGTATAGGCAGTCCCTGGGATAGTGAAACTTCTCTTAAAATACGTGTTTAAATTTATTTGTACTTAAGTCAGAACAGTTAACACGTTGCCGTAGATGATGGCAAATGTGTTTCTAAGCACGGTCGTCAATTTAAAATGTGTGTGGCAACGTGTTAATAGTTATAAATCAGCCAAATAATTTGGCTTATTATATAGCATATGATAAACTTTTCTGTGCATGAAAAGTGATAGAGAAACACTTCCAGATACACTAAAACATCTTTGACATTATCATCATAATAGTGTTTCATACACGTTACAAGCTAGTGCGCATTTATTATTATGAAGCTTTGTAGGTACCTTGACTTTTTAATATAATGGATCTTACAGAGATTGCTTTGTAACTATCTATCTGTTGTCAAGGATTTATGGGCTCGGGGTGGTAGGACAGAGTTCTTCTGCTCTTTTTTAAGGGGAATTTTGTGTGTTTGGATCATTTGCATAGGAGAGTTCTCCTCCTCTATCCTAGCAGAGGTGGGAGCTCTGGTGGCCTAGAGGCAAGGAGTCCTGTGCTGCCATTTCAAAGGCATTCGGTTTGAACCCACCAGATGCTCCACAGGAAAGAGATGAGCAGTCTCCTCCTGAGTGATTTGCTGCCTTTGAAAACCCACTGGAGGGTCAGCTGTGAATTGGTTCTGGCAACAGTAACAATCCTTGCAGAAGTATTTTCTATTTCTTTCCTGCTTTCTCTACTTTTTAACATGTTTTTAAAGTGTATAAATAACCTAAATGTTATATTCATTGTTAGTGTGTGAGTTTATGAACATGTTTGTGTAAATTCATGTGATACTACTACCTTTACACCTACAGAAAGAGTGGAGGGAAGACAGAAATGGAGAATTCAAAAGGAAAGTTGCCCGCTGTGTAAGAAAAAGCCAAGAGACTGCTTTTGAGTGACATTTATTCAACAGCTAGTAACTTCACTTATTTCAGGGTAAGTTTCTTTTTAAATGTCATCATACTGTTTTATCTTTTTTGCAGATGTCTTACATTATGGGAAATGGTGTGATTTCAGTTTTTAATTACTTGATGACATTGGCTTGGTTGGTTTTGGGTTTGGTTTGTTTGTTTCTAAATTTTTTTGTGTGTATTGTACCATCAAATTGGATCTGACTGGTACAGGAGGAGATTGTTCTTCCTTCTCCAGCAGAGCATCTGGTGGATTTGAACTGATCACCTCTGGAAATGCAGTGCAGCTTCTTGCCACTAGGCCACCAGAGTTTGCCTGGCTTGGTTTCTGACAGTGTTATTTAATACTGCTTCTTAAGAATTTGGTGTAACCATTTTTCTTTCCTCCTTAAGTGGATCTGGCTGTTTTAAATATTCTGTGTTAAAATGGTTGGTATGTTGACAGTCTGTGTTTTTTCGTTGATGGTTCCATTTCTAATGATAGTAAATTAATTTGTTCTCTTTTCACCTTTTTTTGATCAGCCCTTATGACCATTCTCAGACACTGAAGTCTGCTATATTTCCCTGAAATGAATTCTATATAAAAAGAGCTGACTTCAATTTTGGTTTCTTATTTTTTATTATTTCATAATATTCTACTAAGACTATTAACTACCCTTCTTGCATTTGTTGGTCTTTATCTCTTTACTCATTATTTGTTCAATATTGATAATGCCAGGTGGAAAATTTTCCATTTTATTTTAAAACATTATTTTAACACTATCTGGGGGTCAAGCAAAGTACTGAAAAAATCTCCAGTCTTATTACCTTTGAACATCCTGTATGTTCACCTTATTTTCCCATCTCCTCCTCACATTCCCCATTCTCTGTTGATGGTTTATTTTCATTTTACCAAGTTTCTTTTCCTTATAATGTATGGTTTTTAATTGTATACATGTGGAATTATAATGTATGTATCCCCCCATAATAGTTTATTTGAGTGAAAGTTTACAAATCATTGGTTTTCATTCAATCATTCATACACATGTGGTTTCATAACACTGATTATGGCTGATTAATTATTTGCAATGCCTCATCAGACCTTTAGTGTTTTTGCCTTTATTATCACCTAATTTATATATTCATTAATTTTTGCTCCTCTCTCCCTCCCTTCTAATAATCCCTGTTACAACTCTGTTAAGGTTGTTTGTATCTATGTGAAAACCTTTCTCCAGCTATATTTTATGTAGCTATAATACTTAGTTATATTAGTGGTTATATTGTATAATTGTTCTTCTGTTACCTAGTTATGTCACTCAGCATAATTTGATCTTGCTTCATCCATGTTGTATAGTATATCACCAGTTCTTGATTGGTTTTGGTGATGCATGATATTCCCTTGTCTGAATACTAAAGTTTCTTTAGCCGTTCATCCATTCTTGGATACTGAAGTTGTTTCCAGTTGTTTGTTATTGTTAATAAGGTTGCAGTAAACATGAGTGTGAGTATGTCAGTTTGTGTGCTACAGTTCTTACTTCTTTGGGTTATATACCTTATAGTGAGATATCTAAATCAAATGAACTTTCTTTTCCTAACTAAGGAAATGCCAAATAGCTTTCAGCAGGGATTGCATCTTTTGATATTCCCACCAGCAGTGTATGAAAGTTCCAGTTGTCCACATCTTTACCACCATTTGTGGTGTTGATTTGCATCTCTCATAGCTAGTGATCTTGAACACAGTAACTAGTGATTTAATTTAAGTCCTGTGTCCATTTTGTCACTGGGTTATCCTTTTCTTATTGAAGTTCTGATATTTTTGTAGCTGAATCCCTTGTTATAGATGAAGTTATTATCCTTCTGTGACTCTTTAAATTCTCAACACTTTTTATTCTTATATAATTATGTGTTTCTATTTTAGCTGTTTTCATTAGATATATTATTATAACTATCATGCTTGCTTTTTCTTGCGTATTTATTCATAGGTCTCATCTCATTTCATTGTCATTGAAGTGGATATGTTCTTTATATGTCCTCTCATTGGGCCTTGTATCTAGTCTTTTCCCTTCTTTGTGACATTTGAGTGCTACTACTTTAGATTAAGTTTTTGTTACTACTTCCTTGATGGTATTCAGCATCTTTTGTTACTTTACCTTGGATATTCATTCTGGGTGAATTCTTTTATGTGTAGAATGTCCTCATAGGAAAAACAGGGGTTGCTTTTCTTTCTCATAATTATTTTTAAGTCAGAAAAAAGTTGGTCAACAACTAAGAATTGGAAAGGAACAAGCCTAACTTTAAAATTTTACCTTATAAATTTTAGAGAGTAGGTAAAATTTTTATTATATTGGTTGACATTGTTGTGTACTGTTGAGTCAGAACTAACCTACAGCTCACTCTTTAGCGGTTTTCAGAGGCTGTAAATGGCACAGGAGGAAAGTGCCCATCTTTCTTCTATGTAGCAGCTGGTGGAGTCAGACCTCATACCTTTGGGTTACCAGCGTGACTCCTTATCACTAGACCATCAGAGCTCCCTCAGTACTACATACCAGATTTATTTTTAACACATAATACAATATTAAAGGTAGAGGGTCAGCAGAGAGAGGACCCTTCACGGAATGAATTGCTACAATGTGTACCACACTGATACCGAGTGACAAGTTGTCAAAAAGATAGTGCAGCATAGGGCAGGGTTATTCATAGGATCACTGTAAGTCATAGTCAACTTGATGATACCTAACAACAACAACACACAATCTTACTTTTAATAAGTGGTGATACCCAGGAACAGGTGACACTGAGCTCATTTCAGTTCTGGTTAATGAATATTTGTTCATCACCTGTCATTAATAAAGACACTGCTCTCCTGGGAAATGAGAGACACAAAGTACCATACAGATAAACAGTTTAGGTCAATAAAGAGCTTTTTTTTTGTTCATCCAGATAAACCAGTCATAAAAATGTAAAGCTAGGTCCCATTAAGAGCTCTAGTGGTTAGGAATAGCAGTAGAGCATGGATGGCATCAAAAAGTCAATACATTACTAAATATTGGATGTTTAGGGCAGAGAGTAGGCATAGGGCTGCTAGCCACATTCATCTTGACTCATTGGGTCAGAGCCAACTCTTAGCTTGACCCTCCATTGGTCTTTCAAAGGCTGTAAAATCATATGGGAGAAGAGGGCCCTTCTTTTGGTCCCCAAAGTGAATATCCACTTGGAATATTGCTGAGTAAGGGCCAACGAGAATACCTTAAGACAATTTCTGACAAAAGGAAGAAATGGGAGATGTGGAATAGTCACAAGGAGTGCTACAGTACGGATTTCAGAAGGGAATTGGGTGGGAGGTTACCGGTGTTAAAAGGAAAAGTTTAGAGGGACAGCTAGAGGATTTATGATTGGGAATCATTGTCTTCCAATATACTGGATGGCGGTGTAGGATGAATTGGAATTTTTAGATGTTTTTGTGGCTTAGTGGTAAAAATTGCCTTGTTAAAGGTTCGTGGTTTCAAATCTATAATCTGTTCTGTGGGAGAAAGATGAGTAATCTTCTCTTATACAGTTTGCTGCCTCTGAAAACCTACTGTAGGGTCAGTGGTGGGTCTGTTCCGATGCAGTGGTGCACAACAACAGTTGTGTAAAGGGAGCTCTGGTGGCATAGTGTATCGGCGCTCCTACCCAAAGGCCACACGTCCCTGGCAGCTCCTCAGGGGAAAGATGCACAGCCTCCTCCTACATGATTTACAACCTTAGAACCTGCTGGAGGGTCTGAAGTGAATCATTGCCAACTCAGAAGGAGAGATCCGTGTAAAAGGCAATGAAGAAAACATGCTCCATGTTCACTTGGTTCGTTAAGATGGCTTGTTCAGAAGCATGGTGCTTATTAAATTCCTACCCTTTATGGAAGTTTATCATGTGTTTGTAGGTTTGTGTGGTGCTTTTTTTTTAAGGACTTTAAAAAGGTTAGGTTGGGTTGTATAGCTGCATATAAAAGTAATTATTTGACTCAAGTTTTAGAAATAAATGTAGTAAGACACCTAACTCCTTTGGGAAGGAACCATCTTCAGGTTAAAAGTCAGAAATAAATAAAACTAGGGGTAAAAAAGACTGCAGATAGTTAAATTCTTTTTTTATGGGACACATAATTGAGGCACTTTTCATTGATAATAAGTGTATGCGATTTAAAAAACAGGTATATACATTTTAAGTTTGAAATAGAGGATACTAATGAAAATAGAAATGCCTGAGATCATAACTTATTTAAAAGTCATGTTTCTCTTTATAAAGACAGACTTGCTTTTCCTATGTTGCGATTCCCCGCCCCCTTAGGATTTTATTCAAAGCAAAGCAAAATAGATTTTTCTGTTTCTTCCAAAGAAGTTGATGCTATTTAAAGCTGGGTCCTCGCTATTAAAAGCATGAGTTGCCTGCTTTTAGGTGCTTTATAACTTTAGTTGTGAGTCCCCTCTGGGGACTTTTCTTTAAGACATCACATGGAAAGGGTTTGTAAAGGGTTCTTTTGTGGCCATGAAATTTCTCATATCATAAGGGAATGATTACTGAGTACCCAAACACGAGATTCCATTTACTTTCATCCCTTGGTGGATTAATCGACTAGGGATTAATTTGGGTGTGGTATAATCTTAGAAAAACATTTCATGTGGAATTACCTAAAAGTTAAAATATTTACTCCATAATAGTATCTCTTGAATTTCAGTATTTATCTTAGATTTTCTAATAAAACACCCACACATATATATCAGTATATACAAATGGTAAAACCCAGTTCTGGTAAAGGCATTGTATTCAGATTCACTGTTTCTAGGAGTGTTTAAATCAGAATAATTACACTGACTGATACAACACTTTTGTAAGGAAATTTAGTGTTTAGTTCTGCCTCTGCGTGTGTATTTTAGGGAGGGAGTCTAAGTTAGAGTAACAAGCATATGTAGGGCTGAATATTGTGGGTTTTTTCCTGCCTGGAACAGTTATGGGCACTTCTGAATATGAATGATTAAGATAGATAGATGGGGAAAAAAAGATCTATCAGTTGGGCTTTTGAAGATCTTGAACATTTAAAAAAAGTAATGTTGTGTGAGTTGCAAATTTCATAGTGTGAGTTTCATAATTCTTAAGTACATTTGACCTGTCAGGACTGTAAAATTCTGTTCCTTGAATTCGGGCTCAGCAGATAACAAGTGCCTGAGTTTCTTGGAGTACTTAGTATGCAAAGATAAGAGGTGTTTTCTTCCCTGCTGTGTCTCCCCACACGCCCACTCTCGTATATTCAAAGCACATATTAATAAAGACTCTGGAAATTTCATTTGTTAGTAGGACTTTGTGGGAAGGAAGTGTTAACCTCTGGTGGCCTCGTGTTAAGAGACTGCTGCAATCCAAGGGCATGTCGTTCAAATTCACCAGCTGTACTACTGGTATTCTCCTCCCAGGCAATTTATTGACTCTGAAAATCTGCTGAAGGGTCAGCTATAGCTAAGTGTCAGTTCTGACTCAGCAGCACACAACAACAACAGTGTTAGGCTTCGTTTTTAGACAGGAAGTTATTAGGTGTGTGGTTTCTCTGTACAATTAACAGTTAATACCTTCATATAATATGACTGTGAGCATTAGTTTATAAGGCGTTTGACACATAATAAGCACTTGATAATTTTTATTTAGATATGCTTCTTGATTTTTACACAGTACATACAATAAATTAGAATAGTCATATGTGGGAGGAAGTTCCATGAAGAAATGGATTTGAATTGAACCTAGGTGACTGGATAGAATGAACTGCAAGAGAATTTAGAAAGCTGAGAAATGTGGTTAATTTTGTTTGTAAAAATGGTTGTGAATATTTGTAAATTTTTTAGATCCCTTGACTTTTAAATATTCTACTTTTTTCCCTCTGATGTAAGACAAAAAAAGTAACACTAGGGAGCTCTGATGTCCCAGTGGTAAGAAGCTGTGCTGCAATCCCAAAGGCACACAGACCAAATCCACCAGCTGTTCTGCAGGAAAAGGAATGGGCAGTCTCCTCCTGTGTGATTAACTGCCTCTGAAAACCCATTGGAGGGTCAGCTATGGGTCAGTTCCAACTCAGTGGAACTCAACAACAATACAAATTGAAAGACATTTGTATTAAAAGTATCTAAATTTGTGTTGCTCAGTAAAACTTCATGTGGTGCAGCACATATTATCTATATTGTCCAGTATGGTAGCCAGTAGCAACAAAAACCTGGAAGTGTTATGTAACTGTGTAACAAAATTTTACATTTTGTTTAATAGTAATTCACATTCAACATTAAAAATGGGTAATGAGTTCCCATACTGGACAGCATACAAGTGCATTTTAAATGAAATTAAGGATTTATTTCCAAATAAATAAGAGTATGACTATAAATTGATTAAATAATCTACTTTTGTGTGTGTGTACTTTTAAATTGACTATATGTGTTTGTTTTGTTATAGGTCTCCAATTGAGAAACATGGCACTGTTTTTCCTGCACTCTACCCACCTATTGCTGGACTTCTATTGTAACAAGTTGGCAAACACTGGCTGGAACTGGGCTGCAATAAAACATGCCAGTTATCAGTGCTGACAACAGCCTAACAAGTGCCAACTCACAGATGATTACGCATTTTGAATTCTAATGAACTGTTTTAACCTTCAGGAAGAATTGTAAAGACCTGTACATAGCACAACATGATCCGGATAATATATATACTGTTCATGTACATCCACAAATACACCTTGTACCAAATAATGCTTTCCTGTAGTAGAGTAAGAATCGTGTAAATTCTGAAAGATTTTTAGCAGGTTTTCTTTCCCTATTCATCGTTTCTTATCAGTTTTAAAAGACTCCTTAAAGCATGTCAGATGAAAAACAATTAGGATTAAACGTTTCCATTTAATTTACTCTTAAACCACTGAGGCTTCATTAAAAGCTTTTCACTTATTAAACTTTGGTAGCTTCTCTGTTTTGGCACATCCCCTTTGCTTTTATCACCTCTTTCTGCCAGAAAGTTCTCAAATCACTTAGTTCAAATACAGAAATACTTAATAAGCAACTACTTGATTTTTAAATGATGACTTGAGAAAAGCCATCACTAGGTGCTTGTCCTTTTTGTATTCTAGTTGCACCCATCTCTTAGAGTGGATGTAGCAATAACATTTTTGGCTGTTGAGAGCTCTTGAACCTAGTCATTAACCCTTGAGTTGGTTCTGACTTCAACTTATGGAAATTTATCCTGAACAATACAACATTCTTGAATTTTCCTCCTTCCAGTTGCCTCTTGTTAAGATTGGAGAAATAAAAGCATGCTATAGGCTTTGTACTCACCTTCTGGGTTTGCTATTTAAAAAAAAATGCTGTTTATCCTTATCCTTATACCCTTCTCCTTAGCCCTTGATATTTCTTTGCCTCTATTCTATACTGCAGATTTTTCTCACCTATTGTACAAAGAAATTGCGATGTATATTTTCATGTAATTTGATTTTGGAATTCTGTCACCTTATGTAGTGAGTTCTTCCAAAATATAATTTTTTCCAATAATTGTCAAGTTGTTGGCTTTTATTGTATTGAATGAAGGTTACAATACTGAATGCCAGAGAAGTGCAGTTTAGAAAAATCTCAGGTTGATTCCTTATGCAAACATAATACTTGAAAATCACATGGCCATGGCAGTACATGTTTTGGGTTATATTTGGATTCTTAAGTGACTCTAAAAGCATTACAAAAGTAAATGCTTTACTATTTGACATACAGATTCTGACACTGACAAGAATTCATTGGATTTGATGAGCATAAGTATATTCCAAACCATACACTTTATAAAACAACTTTAGAAAATAGTAAAGTGAGCATGTGTAGCGTTAAAGACAGGTTTAGGTTCCTCTTTGTTTTTTGTGAGGTTGGCATATAAGGGATAGAACTTGAAGCGGTACCAGATGGGACATAGTGTTTTAACTGTGAGAATCAGTGCATCTCTGCTCTGTGGGGTTCGGAGAAATGCTTTGGCAGGAAAGTGAAAGGATTGAAGCCAAAAGCCCAGCCTCTAACTTTGCATGTTCTTTTTAAAGCAGAAATAAAATGGTCGAAGATATAGTCACAGTAGAGTGATTTTTCTAAATCCCAATCTGTTCTCCACCCTGAAGCCCTATAAAAACCATGAATGCTACATGATTGAAAAAAAATGTTTTGATTTATTCATTAGAGCTCTTTCTCTTTAAGACTTCTGTTGGTGACTCCTCCCTGCCATTTCTCAAAATTAATTGCCCCAAAAGTGCCAGTACTGCACATCTACGTGGGACTTGGAACGCAATCCCGTTTCCTCTTAGATCAGAAATTGCTCATTTGGTGATTGCGTGTGGCAAAATGGAGCCTGGATTCTGCTCTGCTCTTGCTGTTATATGGCTGGCAGTCTTTGGAGTCCAAACCTGGAATTTGACCCTTCAGGTAGTAGCAAAATGACCTAGTAACTCAGGGACAACTATTACTGAACTTTAAAGTGCCACTTTAATGCTGTTAATTTGGTATAACCATGTGGCTTTTTTTTTTAATTGCTAGGGCTAGATGTAGGGAGTGGAAGAGAGCCAGGAAAGAGCATACCTCTCACTTCACACCCCTTCCCACCTGGTGCCCTGATTCACCTACATATGAAACACACCCCAGAGAGCTGTCCTGATGTCTTTTCCTCTGTCAGAGGTGTCATCTGTGCCTTTCTCAGTGTTTGCCTTAGAGTGTGAATTTAAATGCCTCTACATTTGATATTAAACCACACTTGAGTGACACTGATCCAGGTGGCTTTTGTCCCACTAGTACCTCATCATTAGTGTGAGGAGATTCCTTTCTGCTTTAGGAAAAGACTTCCACCCACCTCACCTGATACAAACAATTAACAACAATCTATGTATTTTTATGGATTGTAGAACTGTTGGGAGTTTACTAAAGTGATTCCAAGTTTTTATAAAGGCTGACAGATTTCAGTCTGCTCATACTGGGGTAGATGGTCTCAATGACTTTCTGGTCTCTTGTGAATGGAAAATCCTGGAGGTTGGGTTCCTTGTCATTATAAGGTAATACCTTTGTCAGGTTATTCCACTAGTTCTGTGATTCCTTGGATGTCATATTTAATGACTTATTCTTGGTTGTGAAATTTTGTTTTATATGCTCATTCACCCTCTAAAATCTGCCCACTTTGGGTTGTGGTGCCTGTGTATCTTTGCCTGTCTGGTCTCCAGTTGGTGGAATTACCTTTTTGTACTGCCACTTCTCAGCATCTTTGAAAATTTGACATAATATTGCTTCGTTTCAGTTTCTTTTTAGTTCTGTACTTTGTCGATTGTATTTAACTATGTGAGTTCTGTTGTGATGTTTACTGTATTGTAAAGCACCTCAATCATGTGATGAGTGCTCTATAAATCAATAAATGATGACTTAGAGGCTGTATCATGAGCTATTTTGGTTTTAGGATGCAGGTCTCAAAAAGCAAATGGTGGGGATTTTTTTTCCATTTAAGCCGCACATGATACCAAAAGGGCGTCAGGAGAACCTTGGTAAATAGTTAAAAACCTCACTTAAAGAACCGATCAGAGAAGGGAAAGTTCATAGCTTATCATAGTGCTTTCATATTTCAAACATGGGTCCACACACCATTCTTAAAGTTTCTGTGCATTCTTTTTTAGAACCTTAAATTCTACCCTAGAGTATTACTGATTTTGCCTTTGGCCTCGAGTGGTTCTACTATGGAGGTGAGCTAAATGGCAGAAAACTCAGTGACACATAAGAACTAAAAATGGCCATTATGTGAAACACTATCTAGGCCTAGTTATCTGCCCCAGGATCACCCAGTGGCAAAAGAAGTAAGACTGATTCCCCATCCCCTACCCCTTAATAGAAGGTTTATTATAACTTTTCACTCTGCGTTGGACTCCATTCTGTCTCATAGGGCTTCCAAAATTGTAATCTTTACAGAAGCAGCCTGTGTATTTTTGCCCCCCCTGGAGCAACCTACATGGTTTAAACCATAGACCTCTTAGATAGCAGCAAGAACTTGGTTGCTGCAGCACCAGGGCTCCAAATAGATTATACAGATTTACAGCGTTAGGTATGGAAAGCTTTTGGCTGACAGATGCCATTGGCTATTAAGGCCTCTTCCATATAAACTCTTAAGAACATGGCATCAGACTTCTTAGCCAGAGCTGAATAAGAAACAAAATCATCCCGAGAGCAGCTTTGAGAAGACTGAGGATCACCTGCAGAGTTTGATCTCCAAAAAAAGTTGGATAGTACTATGCTTTTAATATAATTTTATGCATCATTATGGACCCAGGGTATATAGCAAAAACCAACCAAACAAAACTATTTGTGTGCTGCTTCACTTGCAGATGTTTAGGGTTTTGAATGCTCCTACTTGTGTGCAAGGCTGTGGGCATTAAGAAAGGACTGCTTTTCTCCTTCCCCCATGTAAGGCCTGGTAAGCACCTTATAAAAATGAGTGCTTTAACTTTCCAGAATGCTGCAAGCCCCAACAGGATTCAGCTTGCACAGCAAGTCATTTTTAGGCAAAGGTGGTTTAGTTTTAGAGGAGTTGAACTGGCTAAAAGCTAGAATTAAATTTTACTTGAGTCAGCAATCAAACTTGGGTTTGTTCAAACTCCCTGTTTCTGACCCATAGGAAACGTGTCCTGGTTTCTGAAGCTATAATGGAGAGACTGGCCATCTTTCTCTCAAGTCACTGCTGTCTAGTGGATGTGAGTCACAGGTGATGGATGGCCTTTGGGTAGTGCAACTCACTGGACTGTGCCACCACAGGGCTGGACAATGAAGTCAATAAAGAATCTTGCCCACAGACATGGAACTGAAGGACTATGTGAAAAGGAAAGCAGATCTTAAAACATAGGTGCTCTATAGACAATCAGATCAGAAACACTATAGCCCCCCCCCCCACGTTGAACAGTATCTCATGAATAAGTATAATAGCACCTATAAATCACCAAACGAAAACCCACTACTGTCTCATTGACTCTGAATTACGGCAACTTTCATTGGGTTTCTGAGGTTGTAACTTTCTCCTGTGTAGTAGCTGATGGGTTTGAACTGCCAGCCTTTCTATTAGCAGTCCAGTATGTCAGGCACTACACTACTAGGACTCCCTATTCTTGGAGTATTACCCCTTATTCTTTATTGTTGGGAACCTTGAGTTGGAACCAACTCATGGTGGGTTTTCTGAGGCAGTAAGTCACACAGGAGAAGACTGCCCATCTTTCTTACAGAGTGGCTGGTAGATTTGAACAGAGTGCTTTTGAGTTGGCAGTGTGTGCAGCTGCCTACCACGACTATTTTGTGGCAGGTGTTCCAGAAAGGATCTTGTAAAATAAGTGTTATAGGTTGTTGAGTTACCTTAAGAATAACGGATCTAAACACTGCCCTATCTTGTGCCGTCCTCACCACGTCTGACACACCAGAGCCCATCTTTACAGTCACCATGTCCATCTCAACCCATCTTTTTGAGGGTCTTCCTCTCTTCTGCTGTCCACCTTTCTAAGTATATTGTCCTCCAAGAACTGGCCCTCCTAACATGCCCTGTTAATAAGTGCTGTCAAGTATGACCCATAGTGACTCTGTGAACAACCAAGCTGAACACAGGTCCTATCCCATGCCAACCTTACAATCTCGGACACACCTGCTGAATACAGCCCATTGCTGTAGTCACTTTTCATTGCCCCTGTTGAGGTGCCTCTCTTTGGCCATCCCTCCATCTTGGAGAAGCATGATATATCCTCCTCCAAGGAATATGCTTTCCCAACAACAAACCCAAAGTATGAGATGAAGCTTCGCCATCCTTGCTTCCTAGAAGCGTCTGGCTACACCTTCTCCAAGACATGCTTGTTCTTTGGGCAGTCCATAAGATTGTTAGTATCCTTCTCTAAGACCACAGCTCAAAGGCATCACAT